GTGTGTTGTTTGAAGCCACTCGGCTGTTGGTAACTTATGTCAGCAATAGGAAACTGATATGACACTATGTGAAAAAGGGACTCCGACTGGTTACCAGTTTGCTTGCTTGCTCGCTCTCTCTCTCTCTCTCCCTCCCTTCCTTCTCTTCCTTCCCTTCCTTCCCTCCCTTCTCTTCCCTTCCCTTCCCTTCCCTTTCCCTCTTCCTCCCTTTCTCCCTTCCTTCCTTCTTAGACAGGGTTTCGCTCTGTTGCCAAGGCTGGAGTGCAGTGGCTCAATCTTGGCTCACTGCAGTTTTGACCTCCTGGACTCAAGCAATCCTCCCACCTTAGCCTCCCAAGTAGCTGGGACTACAGGCACCTGCTGTCATGCCCAGCTAATTCTTGTATTTTTGGTAGAGACAGCATCTAGCCATGTTACCCAGGCTGCTCTCAAACTCCTGGACTCATGTGAATCCCCTGCCTCAGCCTCCCAAAGTGTTGGAATGATTGGTATGAGCTGCTATGCCCAGCCGACTACCAGATTTCTTATCTGCAATTTGAAACTAGAAGTTTCTAGATCTGAGAAAAGGAGACTGCTAGCCTAAAATCACCTCCTGGCTAAGATATCATTCATGTGGGAGGGCAAAATGAGGCATTTCTACCAGAAATGATTCAGGTGTGTGTCTTTCTAAACTAATCCTCTCTGATACCTCCTAAGCTGTTTTTTGTTTTTTAATAGCTTTATTGAGATATAATTTACAGGCCATAAAATTCACCCACTTAAGGTATGCCATTCAATGGTTTTATTACATTCACAGAGTTGTGCAACCATCACCACTATCTAATTTTAGAACATTTTCACCACCCACACCCCTGGCAGTGTATTCGTTGGCTCAGGCTGCCGTAACAAAATGCCACAGACTGTGGTTAAACAACAGAAATCGATTTGCTCACAGTTCTGGAGGCTAGATGTCCAAGGTCAAGGTGTCAGTAGGGTTGATCTCTTTTTTTGAGACAGGATCTCACTCTGTCACCCAGGCTGGAGTGCAGTGGTGCAATCTCGGCTTGGCTCACTGCCACCTCTGCCTCCTAGGCTCAAGCAATCCTCCCATCTAAGCCTCACTGGTAGCTGGGACCATAGGGGTGTGCTATCACACCCAGCTAATTTTTGTGTTTTTTGTGGAGATGCAGTTTTGCCATGTTCCAGGCTGGTCTCGAACTCCTGAGCTCAAACAATGCACCCACTTCAGCCTCCCAAAGTGCTGGGATTACAGGCGTGAGCCACTGCGCCCAGACAGTTGGTTTCTGCCGAAGCCTCTCTCCCCACCTTTCAGATGTTGTCTCGTGGCATCCTTACGGGGTCCTTTCCTCTGTCTTACTGTTTCTCTGTGTCTGAATCTTCTCTTCTTATAAGGACAACCATCAGATTTGGATTACGGCACCCTAATCGGCCTCGTTTTAACTTAAATATCTCTTTTCTAAAACTCCTCCTGAATCTCCCTAGAAATCTATTTTGAAGTACTATGGGGTAGCTCAAAGGAGCTTCAACATATGAATTTGGGGCAAGAAAATTCAGTCCATAAGAGGCAATTACTCCTTATTCCCCCCACTACCCTTCAACCGAGACCCAAGCAACCACGAATCACTTTCCATCTCGACGGATTGGATTTGCCTATTCTTGACATTTTATATAAGTGGATGAGACAATATATGGTCTTTTGTGACTGTCTTCTTTCACTTAACAATGTTTTCAACGTTCGTTAATATTGCAGCCTGTATCGGTACTTCGTTCCTTTTTACTGCCAAACAGTATTCCATCGTATGAATATACCAGTTTTGTTTATCCATTCATCTGTTGAGGGACATCTGAGTTGTCTCCATGTTTTTACAACTACGAAAAATGATTCTGTGAGTATTTGTGTGCAAGCTTTTGTGTGGACTTGCTAGGTCATACTGTTACTCTATGTTGAACCTTTTGAAGAACTGCCAATCTGTTTTTCTGTGTGGCTGAACCACCTTACAATTTTACCAGAATGTATGAGGGTTCCAATTTCTCTATAACATCACTTGTTATTTTCCTTTTTAAAAAATTATAGCCATCCTAGTGGGTGTGAAGTTGTATCTCAATGTAATTTTGATTTGCACTTTCCTAATATCTGATGATGTTCAGCTTCTTTCTAGGTACTTGTTGGCCATTCATATTATATCTTCTATGGGGAAATATCTATTTAGACCCTTTGCTCACTTTTTTTTTCTTTTTTTTTTTTGAGACAGAGTCTCGTTCTGTCACCCAGGCTGGAGTGCAGTGGTGCAGTATCAGCTCACTGCAACCTCCACCTCCCAGGTTCAACAGATTCTCTCACCTCAGCCTCCTGAGTAGCTGGGACTACAAGTCCGCACCACCACGCCTGATTAATTTTTGTATTTTTAGTAGAGACAGGTTTCACCATGTTGGCCAGACTGGTCTTGAACTCCTAACCTCAAGTGATCCGCCCGCCTCGGCCTCCCAAATTGCTGGGATTACAGGCGTGAGCCACGGCTTTTGCTGACTTTTTAACTGGGCTCTTGTCTTTTATAAAATTTGCAACTTCATGTTGCAATTTTATTCCTAGTATTGGAAGTGGGCTCAGTGGGAGGTATTCAGGTGGTGGGTAGGGGAATCTCCATGAATACATTAATGCCTTCCCGGGGCGGGGGGAGGAGGACTGAGTTGGTTCCTGCTCTATCAGTTCCAGAGAGAGCCGGTTGTTAAAAAGAGCCTGGCCCCTCCCCCCTCTCTCTTGCTCCCTCTCTCGCCCTGTGATCTTTGCACACGTGGGCTCCTTTCACCTTCCGCCATGAATGCAAGCAGTCTGAGGCTCTCACCAGATGCCCAGTCTTCCAGCCAGCAGAGTCATGAGCCACATAAACCTCTTTTCTTTATAAATTATCCAGCCTCAGGTATTCCTTTATAGCAACAGTAAACAGTCAAAACCAGATCTTATCAGATATATGATATTTGCAAATATTTTCTCTCATCTGTGGGTTGTCTTTTCACTTTCTAGATGGTATCATTTGCAGCAAAAGTGTTTAATACTAATGAGGTCCAATTTATTTATTTTTTCTTTGGTCACTTCTGCTTTTGGTGTTATATCTAAAAAGCCTCCGCCTAACTCAAGGTTATGAAGATTGCATGTATGTTTTCTTCTAAGAGTTTTATAGTTTTAGCTCTTATATGCAGGTCTATGATCCATTTTGAGATTATTTTTATGAATGAGGGAAATAAGGTTTCAACTTTCGTCTTTTGCATGTGGATATCTAGTTGTTTCAACACCATTTATTAAAGGCTGTTCTTTAACTTGGCACCCCCATTGATAATCAATTCACTGTAAAGTTAAGCGTTTATTTCTCAACTCTCTATTCTATTTTATTTTTTCTTTGAGATGGAGTCTTGCTCTGTGGCCCAAGCTGGAGTGCAGTGGCATGATCTTGACTCACTGCAACCTCAGCCTCCTGGCTTCAAGTGATTGTCTCGCCTCAGTCTCCCGAATAGCTGGGCATGCGCCACCACAACCGGCTAATTTTTTGTATTTTCAATAGAGATGGGGTTTCACCATGTTGGCCAGGCTGGTCTTGTTTGTTTTTTTGTTTTTTGAGACAGAGTCTCGCTCTGTCGCCCAGGCTGGAGTGCGGTGGCGCAATCTCCACTCACTGCAAGCTCCGCCTCCCGGGTTCACGCCATTCTCCTGCCTCAGCCTCCCGAGTAGCTGGGACTACAAGCGCCCACCACCGCGCCCGGCTAATTTTTGTATTTTCAGTAGAGACGGGGTTTCACCGTGTTAGTCAGGATGGTCTCGATCTCCTGACCTCGTCATCCGCCCATCTCGGCCTCCCAAAGTCCTGGGATTACAGGCGTGAGCCACCGTGCCTGGCCGGCCAGGCTGGTCTTGAACTCCTGACCTCAGGTGATCCACCTGCTTCAGCCTCCCAAAGTGCTGGGATTACAGGTGTGAGCCACCATGCCCTGCCTGGACTCTCTCTTTTATTCCATCAATGTATATATCTGTCCTTATTCTTTTTCAAGACTGTTCTGGCTAGTCTATGGTCCCTAGAATTTCCAAATGAATTTTAGGATCAGCTTTCTAATTTCTGCACAAAATAAAAGGGGAGCAGCTGGGATTTTGACAGGGATTGCATCGAATCTGTAGGTCATTTTGGGATCTCTTACCATTTTAATAATATTAGCTCTTTCAGCCCATAAATGGCTATCTTTCCATTTATAGATTTTCTTTAATTTCTTTCAGAGACATTTCATAGTTTTCAGTATACAAGTCTCACACTTTTTTTGTTAAATTCATTCATAAGTATTTTATTCTTTTGATGTCACGTAAATAGAATTGTTCTCTTCATTTTCAGATTCCTCATAGCAAGTCTGTCAAACTACAATTGATGTTTATATGATGATCTTATATGCTTGGACCTTGCAGAACTTGTTTATTAGTTCTGATAGTTTTTGAGTGGGTTCTTTAGGAATTTCTATATGTAAGATAATGTCATCTGAAAATAGAAATGGTTTTACCTGCTTTTGTAACTAAAGTTCTCTTGGAACACAGTGACATCCACTCACATATGGTCTATGGCTGTCTTCAAGCCAAAGGCCGAGGGAAGTAGTTGTGTTCCTGGAACTAAGCCGGGTCTGGCTGCATTTTCTCGAGGCCTAATAATGAGAAGCAGACAAACTAGTAAAGAAGGGAATTGGCCGGGCGCGGTGGCTCACGCCTGTAATCCCAGCACTTTGGGAGGCCGAGGCGGGTGGATCACGAGGTCAGGAGATCGAGACCATCCTGGCTAACACGGTGAAACCCCATCTCTACTAAAAATACAAAAAAAAAAAAAAAAAAAAAAAAGCCTGGCATGGTGGCGGGCGCCTGTAGTCCCAGCTACTTAGGAGGTTGAGGCAGGAGAATGGCGTAAACCCTGGAGGGGGAGCTTGCAGTGAGCCGAGATCACGTCACTGCACTCCCGCCTGGGTGACAGAATGAGACTCCGTCTCAAAAAGAAAAAAAAAAAGGAAGGGATTTTATTGCTGTAACCAGATACAGGGAGAAGGCCAGAGATAATTCCACCAGACCAACTCGAAGTGTTACAATTTTCTTAGTGCTTGTATAAGTTGGGGTTATGTGCCTATGTGCAGTACAGCATTTGCCTAAGTCTATTGGTAACTAATTTTGTTTCAACTAGAAGGTCAGAGGCAAAAAAATGCTTGCGGGAGACAGGCCCTCGGGGGTGGAGGTCTTTGATTTCGTACGAGCCTGATAGATTTTTCTAAGATATGTGTAACACACCAACTTACTGTGACCTGGGAAAGGCTGCTAAGGATGTCTTCAACAAAGGATATGGCTTTGGCATGGTGGAGATAGACCTGAAAACCAAGTCTTGTAGTGGAATGGAATTTTCTACGTCTGGTCACGCTTACACTGATACAGGGAAAGCATCAGGCAACCTAGAAACCGAATGTAAGGTCTGTAACTATGGACTCACCTTCACCCAAAAACGGAACACAGACAATACTCTTGGGACAGAAATCTCTGGAGAATAAGTTGGCTGAAGGGTTGAAACTGAGTTTTGATACCATATTGGTACCGAACACGGGAAAGAAGAGTGAGAAATTGAAGGCCTCCTATAAATGGGATTGTTTTAGTGTTGGCAGTGACGTTGATATAGATTTTTCTGGATCAACCGTCTATGGCTGGGCTGTGTTGGTCTTTGAAGGGTGGCTTGTCGGCTGTCAGATGAGTTTTGACACAGCCAAATCCAAATTGTCACAGAATAATTTCGCCCCGGGTTACGAGGCTGCAGACTTCCAGCTGCACATACATGTGAAGGATGGCACTGAATTTGGAGGTTCTATCTACCAGAAGGTTAATGAGATTGAAATGCCAATAAACCTTGCTTGGACGGGTGGAAGTAACAACACCCGTTTTGGCATTGCTGCTAAGTACAAGCTGGACTGTAGAACTTCTCTTTCTGCTAAAGCAAATAATGACAGCCTGATTGGACTGGGTTCTACTCAGACCCTTCGACCCGGAGTCAAGTTGACCCTTTATCAGCTTTAATCAATGGAAAGAACTTCAATGCAGGAGGTCGCAAGGTTGGCTTAGGATTTGAACTGGAAGTGTAATGTGGTTTGAGGAAAGCATCAGATTTGTCCCTGGAAGTGAAGAGAAATGAACCCACCATGTTTTGGCCTTACAATTCTTCTGTGAAATTTCAAAAGTGTGAACTTTTTATTCTTCCAAAAAAATTGTAATCCTCCCAACACTGAAGTCTAGGGGTTACGAGTCCCTCCTGAGGGGAGGCGCTGGAAGGCATGCCTGGAAGCTGTCATGTTTGTGCCACGTTTCGGTTCAGTTCCGCAGTGTTATTAAATGTGTTCCTCGGCGACAGTGTAGTGTCGTGTCAGAGGAGACGATCTGACCCTCCAGTTTGTACCTTGTGTCCTGCATGTTCACACCATTTTTTTCATGACTTTGTAATATATTGGTCTCTGTGCTATTGTGGAATCTTTGATTTTGCATCAGAGTAAAATAAAATAAACCGATCACATTTGGAACATTAAAAAAAAAAATGCTTGCTAAGTCTGATTAAGCTGTGCGGGCCCCAGTGCCTTCCAGGCCTGTCTCCTGTAGTACCAGAGTGATTATTTCTATCTTCTATTCTTTACAGCTTGGTCTGGAGAGCTGCCTTAGACTCTCCAATGAATCTATTGAAACAGTTGCCTCTGTTACCTTGACTTGTCTCAGATTATGTTGACCCGAGGCAGGTCCTGGCACTAGGAATGTTAGACTCTATTATTTTGACTTGCTCCAGGTTAGGGAGAGGTCCGTGCAAGGCTTCTATTGACCATATATTTTCTTTCTTGCTTTGATGTCTGAGCACTGATTTCCCTAGGTTTAACTATTTGCTCAGTGTTAAGGCACTGTGGAAATTTGTGTAACTGGGGTGCTGTGCAGGCCTGTCTGTCGACTGTCATGCAGTCCCGTCTGTGTGATTGTCAGGGAGAACTGGCCTGCCACAGTTGTGACAAGACCAAATGGCTTCGAAAAAGCCAAAACTATTTACCAGCTGGTCCTTTGCAGAAAGTGTGCTGACCCTTGTTTTGCGGGAGTGTCTTTTCCGTTTTTCACTGCCTCTAATTAATGTCTTAATTTTGAAATAATGTATTTTATATTCTCAAGATTTGTTTTTTGTTTGTTTTCCAATTGCTCTTATGCAAGATCTTCTTGACTCTCCTGATAACATCTACGATTCTCTACGATTCCCTCCTTTAGACATGCCACATTCTGACTGCTCAGCTGGCGGAGACCAGTGGGGAGGCTGCAGCCTTTAAACTTCCCAACATCCCTGAAATGTCTGCTCACATTCAGAGGCCTGGGCCTTCCAGCCTCATTGCGCATGAAGTGCCGGTGGCTCCCACAAAGGCCTGGCTGCCAGAGTCCCCCCGGTAATTGTGAGACAGCAGGCAGGATAAAGTGACCGGGAAGTTTCTTCCCCAAAGCTGATGGTGAACGGGTCCCCAGGTTGGGACCTGATGACTAGCTGGGAGCGAGGAGAGCTTCTGGCTTTCCCAGGTGTGAGTTGGGTGGGGCCTCCATTCCCGGTGGCCTCAGGGCTCCTGGGAAGGGCACGAGCTCCAGGGAGACCCTTAGGCTCTCCAGGATGGCTGGCTGGTTGTCTCAGGCATGTACTTGGCTTAGTTTTCTTAATTCAATTAAGTGGGGACATTAAGTTCCCATAAAGTGGGAACACTCAGACTTGGCTCCAGAACAGCAGGCCTGCTCTCGCCCAGTCCTATGAGACAGCCAGGTGGGAGGGGGACCCTGGAGAAATGCCAGCCAGCCGGCCCACTGAGGCAGAGCCTAGGGAAGTTCACAAGGTTTGCAGCAGGGAGGAGCCTGGCCCCTCCTCTTCCTGTGTGGAACCTGGGATTCCAACTGCCTTGCGGGAAGCACTCTAGCGGAGGGATTCTGGCCTTGCGAGAGAAAAACCAGAAAATGGGGCTCTTGAACCCCCGTGCTCACCCGCTCCCGCCCTGTGGAGTGTACTTTCGTTCTCAATAAATCTCTATTTTTGTTGCTTCATTCTTTCCTTGCTTTCTTTGTGCGTTTTGCCCAATTCTTTGTTCAAGAGGCCAAGAACCTGGACACCCTCCGCCGGTAACACTAGGTCCCCCTTCTCTCCTTGTGAACAGTGGCACTAAGAAGTTGCCCTCCACAAAACAGGTAGCAAAGATTTTCCCCCAGCCCCATCTGGCCACGCTTCCTATTGATGGGTCCAGATCTCTAAGTCACCCCAGCAGAAGGCTGGAGTACTCCCTGGTATGACCACAGGGCCTTCATTCCAGAATCACCCCTCCTGCCTTCAAAGCCAGTAAAACACGATCTTAGGGAAAGTCACTTTTGAGTGGAGGAGCCCGAGAGAAGTGAAGTGAAAATAAACTCCAGGGTGGGCACGGTGGCGCACACCTGTAATCCCAGCACTGTGGGAGGCCAAGGTGGGCGGATCACCTGAGGTCAGGAGTTCAAGACCAGCCTGGCCAACATGGTGAACCCCCATTTCTGCTAAAAACAAAAAAAAATAAGCTGGGTGGGTGTGGTGGCGCACATCTGTAGTCCCAGCTGCTCAGGAGGCTGAGGCACCAGAATTGCTAGAACCAAAAACAAAAAAGCTCCAGCTGTGAACCACAGACCATCTTTACGGTGTGGAGGCCAAAATGGACCAGAAGTAATTTCTCTTTCCTGCCAGATAGAACACAAGCAGGAGCTGTGGTTTCCAAAAATGTCTGTGCACACAGGCTAGTCGTCCCTGACCCTCCCAGGGCACTGCTTGGGTTGGAATGGTGGCGCTCACACAGGATTCCTTCAATTCTGCACTGTCACAAGCCCACAGGGCTGGAGAGGCTGGCAGTACAAAGAGGAATGAGACTCGCCTGCTGGTCTCATGAAGTTCACAGCCTAGTGGGGGAGCCTGCAAGTAAGAAGACAGTCCCGATGCAGGAGGGCAGGGGTGTGACCCCGAAACAGTGTAGAGGAGCCTGCAGCCTGTGGTGAGGGAGGGTGGTGCTGAGAGGTCGGGGGGGGACCCGACACATAGCGGTATTGAAGACAATTTGCCAGGCAGGCTGATTTGCAAGGCTTCTTGCAGGGCAGAAGAGGAGGCAGACACGTGCTGAGGCGCTCGAGGCACATTAAATGAATGGATGAATGAAGGAAAACTAGCCGTGCTGTGTTTAAGGAAAACAACTGCTGGTAATAACTGAGTTGGGTAATGAGATTAATGGTGTGAATGAAAAAGGGGTGCAGGGTCACAGGTGGCCCCCCAAACCCGAGACATCTGTGGTTGTCTAAGCATGCTTTATTTTGGATTCTGGCATGCATTTATAATTTATAATTCATTTATGCTGGTTAATATGAACCAGACATGGTTTTATTGGTGAATCATCAAAAGCAACTGTGTTTCTTTCCATTATTTGTGGTGAGTTTCCTTTTGGCAAACACTACGTAATGGAGAAGATGGTCCTTGGGGCTGGCTCCCCAGCAGTGACCCCAGGACTGGAAACTTCAAGAACTGGAAAGGCAGTCCAGGGCCTTAGAGTCTGCAGAAGTATATGCTCATCTGGCTCTTATTCCAGTCGTCTGTGTGACCTCGTGGGGCCTGTTTCATCACCCTCTGAACAAGTAGGTTGGATGAGATGCCCTTTGAAGACTTTCTAGCTCTGTTATCTGTGGCTCTGTGGCTATCCTGAACCCAACAAACAGCCAAAATCATCTTTCCTGCCTCCCTTACGAATGGGAATTCCAGCCCAGGAGTGCTTGGAGGCATGGGTCATCAGCCTGGCTGAGTGTCCTGCACCCACACACATCAGATGTCATGAAATCACTGACTCTGGCAAGGAATCTTTCCAAATCCTAGGACTGGTGACCTCCAGAAATAAGTCATTTGGGGGAACCACGTGTCCAAATGTTAATTTTCGTTTAATCAGAAGAATGGAAAACAAGAATTCATGTACTTTTAAGGAATAAAGCCTTTGTTCAGAAAATGCAAAACGTGCCAAATAGACTGTGGTTACAAATTACGTTTCGTTAAGGAAGAGGGGAGGGGAGGCGAGGGGGAGGGTACTGAAGAAGGGCAGAAAAGGCCTTTCTCGGGATCTACTTTGTGTGGACATCAGCATCTCATCTGAGCCTCAGCAGCACCTGCCAGATGGGCTTTAGGATTCACCACCTGCCAGAGCAGGAATGGAGGTCAGAGAGGTGTGAGCTGGAGGATTAACACAAGGAGCCTCTGCCTCCCCAGGCATCCCGGGGTCTGTTAGACAAAGACCAATGCCCACTCAGGTGGAAACAGGGCACAGGATAGGATGTGAGTAGTCCCAATCTGTCCTCTCTCAGCCCTCTGATGAACAAACATCAGATGCAAGAAACAACCTCCCCAGGAACAAGATGGTAACAACTTGTCAGACTTCAGGGCAGCAGGGAAAATACCTGATCTGGAGATCAGAGTGGGCCACATGCTGAAAGAACATCAATAAACCAGGCTGTGAACAAGCAGGCCTGTATCCCAAGGTCTCAGCGCAGGACTTTGATAGGCAGTGACCAGGGGTTAACCTTGCCTTTCCATAGCACAGCTGGAATGTCTCCAGGTGACCTGAGGCTTGTCCGTTTTAGTAATTTTTAGGATGCAACAAGGCTCTCCTGTAGCAAAGAGACCACTTCCGAACTTGTGAAGAGAAGGACAAAAGAGGTGATGAGAGGGTAACACCCTCAGGGGGTGCTACCAGGGCTGTAGGAGATCATGCTACCCTTTCAGTTTTGACAACTCTGGGCTTAAATACAGGAAGGAAAGCAGAGATGCTACAACCAACCTCTAGGGAACTCTGATGACCTGCACACGGTGAGGGAGATACAGAGAGACAGGGAGAGATAAGCACATAGAGACCCAAACTGCAACCCGTGACACTGATATTCAACCCCAGAAAACTAGAATGCATGGGCACTGGGATGAAGAGTCAGAAAAATACTGCTTGAGACTTGGCTCCACCGTTTACTATATCTTGGAAAAAACCACACACAACCTCTCCTGAATCCTGGACAGGAGGAAAATAGCGACTCTTCATTGCCCTCCTAACTGCCAGACACTGACAAACGCCTTAAATGCTCTTGTTCAGATCATTTTTTAAAAGGTAACTGTTAACGTTCTGTGACACAGACGGGAGGCAATAGTGCCCATACTGGTAATGTATGAGGAACTTTGTCTTCCTTTTTTTTTGAGACAGAGTCTCACTCTGTCTCCCAGGCTGGAGTGCACTCTGTCTCCCAGGCTGGAGTGCAAGACCTCGGCTCACTGCAACCCCTGCCTCCTGGGTTCAAGCGATTCTCCTTCTGCAGCCTCCCAAGCAGCTGCGATTACAGGTGAGCGCCACCGTGCCCGGCTAATTTTTTGTATTTAGTAAAGACAGGGTTTTACCATGTTGGTCAGGCTGGTTTCGAACTTCTGACCTCAGGTGATCCACCCGCCTCAGCCTCCCAAAGTGCTGAGATTGCA